TTCTTTATCACAAAAACTTGTTCTTTCCTTGTCATTTAATATTCCATCTGGTGACACTCAACCACAAATCAAACAAAGTGTATTTAACACGTCTGAATCAAATGATAGTTGTCTTGTGTTATTATCTTTAATAAACTTCTTTAAATCCACATGTCTATCACCATGAATAGACAAAGGATAATACTTTCGTTTTTTATCATCATGAATGAAAAGATTTTTAACTTCTAAATTGGGATATGAAAGTTTAACATCTGAAATTTCTTTCATATCAAATACAATTTCACGTTCAGTATTTGTATTGAATTTTTTTTTTTCTAAACAGGCACACATTTCTGCTTTATTTATTTTTGTAGTTAAAGTGCTAGATTTCGTAATGACTCGAGGGTTAGTAATATCAAGAACTTCTTAAACCACACAATAATTCTATCACTACAAAACAAAAATTATCCATGTTGGTATAGTATTGGTTTTAACTATTAAATATAGGTATTGTTTATTATCAGTTATTACAAAATAACGTCAACGAAATAAATTAACCACACTTGAGTTTAGTTTAATTCTAACAAATAAACTGACTAATGTCTCGTTGTTTATTTTATTTCATACAACACCAACAAATCACACTATCATTATGACTAAATTAATTCCAATGATTCTTCTAAATAAAATCAAACAAGACATAAATAACACAATGAGATGAGAATGATAAACAGAAATGATGAAATAGAAATTAAACAAGAATGATGTGAAGTGAACTTGTTCTTTTTCTGTAAATTCGTGAAATTCCTTTTTCTCTTTTTTCTAAAAATTGAACTTAATATTTTTATTATTTTTTATATTATTCTTTCTATTAATTTATTATTTATGAATTATTCACATTTTTGATTATTAGATCCTTTTAATGATTCATTTTATGAACATTTCATTTCTTCTCTTATATCAAGATAGTGTTGTTTATAATAACTTATTAATTGTTGTGATGATTAGTTCTTCAAAATGAAAAGACACTGAATTAAAAGAAACAATGATTGGAATTAGAAGAGAATGAACAGAATGGGAAATGAGATTTTTAAGTTATTTACAATTGAAAGAATAAAAACAGTTGATCAAGAATATCAGATGATTAGAGAAAAGTCCATTGAATCAGAAAAGAAGCTATTCTCAACACTACAAAATATTATCAAACTCAAAAACATACTTCATGAAGCTGCTTTACTTCAAGTTGAGATTTCTTATTCATTATGTGAAATGACTTTAAACAATCTCAAAGCAACACAACTGACTAACTCTATTTTGAATGCATCACAGGATATTCTAACTCAACAAAATCACTTCAATTCATTCATCAAAGACAATATAGAAATCCCTCTCCATTCATTTCTTAATCAATTCAGAATGTTAAGTAGACGAGATTGTGAGTTAGAAGAAAGAAGAAAGAAAATGGATAAAATGAAACAACACCTAGTAAAGAAAAAGAGAAAGAAGTTAGCATGTTCTTATTTAATTTCCATCACCAAAAAATATCAAGAAAGTAAAGAAGAATATTTAGAAATGAGAAACGAATTAAAGAATGATAGAAACATGCTTCTTAAAACATTTCCAGAGATAGCAGAGAGTATTGGTAAAGGATTTATTAGAGAAGGATGGGGATGTCTTCTGATGAATAGTAGAATTTGGGAGAGAGTAAGTCAAGGTCTTTGGAAAGATGAAGAAAAGAGTATTTTAGAAGTGAGTGATGTCATCACCAATTCAATCAAAACACGCTCTATTCAAAACAACATCACCAGAAAACCAACAAATGTATTTCATGGAAGGGTTGTTTATAGTTATAATCCACAAAATGAAAGTGAATTGAAATTAGAAGAAGGAGAATGGATCACAGTAATTTCTACAGAAGGAGAATGGTGGGAAGGAGAAAGTAAAGGGAAAATAGGAATATTTCCATCTCATTATGTTGAACGAGATGTTAAAATCAACTAAGAAAGTATTTGTGGATTAATTTATTAAAAAACAAATGATGAATATTATATAATGAAATTGAATGTTTTTAATATGAATATGATAAATAAATATGAATAAATGAGTATAACATGTTATTCATAAGAAAATAGTAATACAGAGAATGATAAATTCTATAACTAAAATAATAAAACAACAGAAAGATAAGATGTGAGTCAATTAATGATGATAATAAACATCAGAAATATATAAATAATAAGGATATGTTTATAATAAAGAGAGAAATAATGAATAACAAATATAAATAAACGAAGAGAATATTAAATGAGTATTTTGAAAATAAGAAGAATAAGAAAATAACAAAGAAAAGAATAAATATGATTTTAAATCAAACTAAAGATAAAAGATAAATCAAATAAAATGAAAATAAATAACATAACAATGAGAATAAACATACTTATATTATAATAACACAAATAGTTTTGAAGAAATAGAAATGATATTGTTTTCATATTTTTTAAGAGAAGAAATCATATTATTTCATTAACAATCATTGATTAGAATATAATTAATTATATTTTTCAATAATACAAGATTCTAGTAATGTAGTATTCAATAACATATTTACATTCATAGATAATTTAATTTTGTAATTTTATTGATTATTCTTATTATAAATCATTCAATAATTAACAAGATATTCATCATTCTATAAAACTTATTTGTTTATTTCCTTATTAACAACTAAAATTATCTTATTATCTCAATTATATGTTTATTTAATAACAATAAAACTAGATTTAACTCATTGGTTATTAATAATCAATTATATTCTACAAATTATCACTAATAATAGTATTTGATGTAAAGAAAGGTATTCTTTTCAATGTAATTGAATTTTGATTTTCTACACATGGAAAATACTTAGAAACATCACAATACGAATTAGGTTCCTTCATATAAATGACATTAATATCTTTAGAGAATGAACAATTTAATTGGTCATCAACAGAAAAAGCAGAAGGACAATTAAAAATGATAGTTGAATCTAATGGGATGTAAACAGATGTAGTGAGTATCCGATAATCAAATGTATTTATTTCATCACTTTCTAATGAACAAGAAAAGATGTAATGGTGTTGATCTGTTATTCCAATTCCCATATATGATGGTGCTTTTGATATATAACAACCAAAACAATTATCATTATCATCTTCTGCAACAAAATAAACATCTCGTTCTCTTTGGATGTAATTAAATATTGTTTTAGATGTTAATAAACTATTATTTGAATCATACAAAGTTAACACCTCTTTGTTAGAGAGAATATTAACAATTCTCTCTGCTCTATCTTTTTCATCAGTATAATGTAGATATTGTGGTTGGTTAAACGAAATAACTTTCATTGAGTTAATACTGTTCAATAAATTGGTAATGTTTAAATATTTATTTCTTTCAAAAATGATGTTTAATAATGAACAAGAAACAAGATAATCAAAATATAAGAATAAAAGATTGAACAATAAGAATTTAGTGATTGTTGAAAATTATTAATGACAGATGATATTATGAGTATATAGTTTCATCTTAACATCATTTTAGAAAGTAATAATGATATATAATTAACATAATAAAAAGTAATATTTAGTGATTAATAGTATTTAATGTTAAATAATAATAGTTAGATATTTTCAATTATCAATTTATTATTACATCACATTCATTGAAATTTAATGAAATTCTAACAAACAAATAATAAAATATTATGAATAAGATGATATTTAAATTATGTATTTTCTATAAATGTTTTAGTAAAAAGTTATGAAAAAATGAATAAGAGAAAAATGAAGAGAAAGAATGATATAAAAGAAAAAGTAAGGTGTAGTAGAAGATAATGATGATGATGAAAAGAATAAAAGTAGAAAGTTGAGATTATAAAATGAAAGAAGATAAAAAGGAATAATTCAAAAAGAGATAATAAAAGATGAAAAGAATGATGAAATAATGGATGTATTTTTTATTAAATAAATTAGAAATATGTAATAAAAAGTGTCTAATCTATGATGCAAAATAATTAACAATATTTTATTGATTCAAAATATTTTATTCATTTTTCTTTTTATGATTTTTATTTATGTATATAATTTATTCTCTTATTTTGGTTCTTTAAAAGATAATGTAATATCAAACATGAAAGATATTATGAGATACTGTGGTGATCATTCTGGAGAATACAGAGATCTAAAAGAACCAGAAGAAGGAGACTCTACCAAGGGTGAAGGATGTGAAGAAATTCTCATCTAAATAAATGTTAAAAATATTAAACTTTAATTTATTATATTTATTTTATTTGATATTTGAATATTATTAATGTATTCTTTATCATTATTTACATTGATATTTATCATTTTTATTATATTTTCTATTTGTTGATTTATTAATTTCTTATTTAATTTCTTATTTAACAAATTAATTCAAATCAATACAACATATCAATTAAAATTATATTTGTTTGATTTGTTGTGTTTTCTTTTATTATTGTTTGATTATCATTTCTTGTTTTTTGATATTCAGTGTTTTGCTCTTCTATTTTTAATATTGTATTTTTCATAGTTATAGTTTGTTCATTTGTATTATCCATGATGATGTTCTCAGTATTTGTTGTGTATTTATCATTAATATCATTGTTTTCTTCTTCTCAATTTCTAAAATAAAAAATAAACAATAATTTGTTGATGATTTGATATTAATTGTTTTTGTTCTTCATTTTCTATTTGTGTATGGTCTAATTCTTCTTTTGTTTTTTCTTCAATCTCATAGTTTTCAATCCCACTTTTTTGATATACAGAGATTTGATTTTCTTTATCTCTTATGTTCTTTTCAATATATCATCGTTCTTCATTTTATTCTTATTCAGCTTCTCATAATTTACTTGGAGAATGATGATTTCATCTTTATTTCATATTTCTGTGTTATTTCTATTTCATGTTTCTTTTATTTTTCCTTGTAATGTCTTGTTTTCCTCTTTTAATTTAGAGTTTTCTTATTTCATTACATGTTGTTTAAATATTGTTTATTTGTGTTTGAATCTTTTTTATTTCTTCTTCAAACTCTCTCCTGACTGTTTCTCGTGTTTTTTGAATCATTTCATTTGAAATGGTTCGTTCTTCTTCATTCTTTTTTGTTTGAAGTTCTTTAATAGTTTCTTCTAATTCTTTAATTTTATTTTGAAGAATGTTAATTTCTTATTTGTTGCATCTTCTTCTTTATCTTGTGTTTTTATTTATTTTCTTTTTCATTTATTATTATTGTAGTTTTATTTCATTTCTTTGTTTTTTGTTTTTGATTCATTTTTCATTTGTTTTAATATCTTCATCATTTATTTTGTTTTATATTTGTTTTCTTCTTTGTTTTTCTTTATTATTTTATTATTTATTATTGAATATACTTCTTGGAGAATATTATACATTTTCTTTATCTTCATTCTTTTTAAGTAATTCTGAATATTCTCATTTCTCATTTTCACTTTTATTCTTTTATTTTTCATTTTAATTTCATTTGTTGTTAATAATTTAGATTTATTATTTGTATAATGTTTATTATCATTGTATTTACATTGTTTCTTATTTGTTTTTATTTGTATTCTTCTTTTTCTATTCACTTTTTTCTTGTTATTTCTTTTATCATAATTATTATGCTTTTTATTATTATTTCATTCTTTCTTTTCTTTGAACTTGAATATGTCTTGTTTGATTTTCTTTACAAGACTCTATAACATTACTCAATAATATGGTAACAAAATATAATGTATATTCTGAATTGATAAAAGGATCTTAATATAAATAAAATAAATAATAAAATAATAAATAATCTATTTTAATTTAATCTATTTATAATAATTGATAAAAATAGATGATCTATTAATAATTATCGTTGAACTAATAATTAGAACTTGAAAATGAATGAATGATGTTTAAAAGAAAATAAAAAGAAAAAGAAACAAACAAACTAACAAAGAAGAATAAAAGAAGAATGAACATAAACAAAGAAGAAAGAAGTGCTATGTCTATGAACTACAAGAAATAAGTAATAATGTTAAGAATCAGATTGACGAAATCATAAAAAGTGTAGAAAAATATAATGAGAATTGGGAAAATAGAATTGGAGAAGAGATAATTGATAATGAAAATGAAAGTCCAGAAGATAGAATTAAAAGAGTAAAGGAATTTATGATAGAAAAGAAGAAATAGTTAGAAGAAAGGAGATAGTTAAAAATAAAATAAAAGAATGAATGATGATAAATAATTTAAAGAACTTCTATCAAAGAATTAATGAAATTAGATATGAAGATAAAGAGATACTATCAGAACAAGTTGATACCATCATTACAAAAGTGATGGAAACTGAAGAAATAAGAGTTAGTAAATTAATTGAAGGAAATAAAGAAGGGAGAATGACCTATGAAAAAAAATTAGAAAATATTAGAATAGATTGGGAAAGTAAAAGAGCTGAAAAGAAATATCCACCGAAATATCAAATTGAACAACTAGAAGAATGGACAAATAGAAAAATACGAAATATACTATTTGATTCAGATATTGATGATTGGAATAAGAATACATCAGTGTTTAATCAAAGAATAATAAATAAAGAACATATAATAATTGTTATTGAAGATGGAAATAAATGTGGAGGATGTGTTAATGTGAAAATTGATAAAGTTAATAATTATATAAAAGATCCAAAATCATTTTTATTTTCATTAGAATCAAAAGGAAGAATAGAAGAGATGATAAAATTTGATATTAATGATCCACAATATGCATTTTATTTATACAGTCAATCAGATGGGTGTTTGTTTTCATTTAGATATGGTGATATTTGTGTTTACAAAGAAAGTGATAAAACACAGTCGTCTTGTCAAGAACGTTCATTTTCATATGAAGGAATATCAAATGCACTTTGTGGAAAACAAGATCCAGAATGTTTTACACTAAAACGAATCATTGTAATTGAAATGAAATGATTTTTATTCATTATTATTTATTTGAAATATAAAAACTAAAAAAAAGAAAACAGTTATGATTTACTTAATAATTTAATATTTCATCATGTTGAGAAGTGAGTAAATGAATTTCTTTAATACTCTTTTTTTGATGAAACTTAAGTTCTTTCAATTATTCTCAATTTAAATGCCTCATCATTTAATTTGTGATTTGTATTTGAATTTAATAAGTGTTAAAAAACTTATCTTGTTTATAATGTTATTTTATGATGAATATATCAATATCACTATGAATGAACCATCTCCTTTGCCATTAACAATCACTTAACAGACTCTCTTTTCTTGATAAGACCACATGTGTTCATCATAAAAATATCATTAATATAAAATAAAACTAATAGATAATAAAAATAAGAAATTAAAATATAAACAAAATCAGAAATAATAATGTTGATAATTAATATATTAAATTAATATTAATTATTTGTGTACCATTATTTATTAAATATAAATCATTTATATTGTTAATCAATTTTATTCATATTATTTATTAGATTTATTATTAAATACTTATTCTATTATTATGAAAAGTAATAAATAAAGTAAATGTTTGTATTGTATTGTTTGTGTGTTGATAATAATTTTGATGATGTAAAATTATAATTATTCATATTAAAATAATTATGTATTAATATAAAGAGTGATAATTTTATATTAATATTAATATTGTGTTTTTTCATCATAAAGAATGAGATGATAAATATCATATTACTTTAGTATTTATAATAAATATAAAAAGAAAGAAATAATAAGAAATAGATAATTCACAAAAAGAAGATGTGGAAATATTATTATAAAATAAATAATGATATGATAATTGAATGTAGTTATTTGTTATTTAATTTATATTTGATATGTGTATTATATTATATTATTGTTATATCATTAATATTTGTGTTTGATTATTTCATAATTTATCATATTTAATTATTTATTTCATATTTCATTTATTATATTTCATATTTATTAGATTAAAATTACTTATTCATTAAATAATATCAAATGAAATAAGAATAATGTGTTAACATCAATCAAAATAAATTGAATAAAAAATAAGAGATCATGATTCGATTCAATACAAATCATTCATTTTTTGTTTTTCATTTGAATAAATGAAGTAATTGAAAATAATAGCATATTTTAAGAACAAAAAATGATAAAGTTGATAAGAAATATTAATGTGAAATGATTTTGTTATCAGCTAAAATACAAATTAAATAATAGTAGTATAATACAAATAAGTAAATAAGATATGAAATGAGAAATGAATAAAAATAAGAGAATAAGAAATGAAAATGAATAAAGATAAGAGAAAAGTTAAAGAATAAAAAAAAAATAATA